ATTCCGGTGGCCTCTAGCCTGTGACCCCGCTCAGATACCTGCAGGGCTCCCCTGCCCTCCCGTGCAGGCTCAGGGAGGCCTTGCAACAGGGGCGGGGCTGAAGCTGGCCGGGGGCTGGGGGCTGGACACCAGGAAAAACTTCCTGGCAGCAAAGGCAGTTTGGCCCTGAGGAGGTGTTGGGGGAGGTGGGAACCCGAAGAGGTTCGGGTGCTAATGGTCACTGTCCTTGGGAGCCCAAGAGCGGCAGTGGGTGACAAACTGCAGTCACCCAGGCTGGGATCTGGGGGACCAGTGACCAGACCAGTGGCGTGTGTGCGGGGAGAAGACAGCCCCCTGTGAGCGCTCCTGGAAAGGACCGGCGGTGGCCACACGAGAGCCCAGCACCAGGGGCAAGAGCGGAGCCTCCCCCAGCCCCTCACGGTCGGCCACAGCAGGCTCAGAGAGCCCTGACCGCTGGCAGAGGCCTGGGCGCTGGATGTGGCTGAGGGAGGGGTCCGAGCCAGCCCAGGGCGCCCCCGGGCAGGTGCTGCAGGAGCTGCGGGAGCTGCCCGCCGGCCCTGCACCTGGTGTGGAGCCGGCCTTCCACCGGGCCCGGCCCTCCCACTCTGAGGCCCTGCCCTGGGCTCCTCGGGGCTCTGGCCTGGCCACTGGGCTCTCCCTAAGCAGTCCCCTCCAGGTCCCGTCCTGTCCCAGCCCCGGTGTGCATCTGGCTGACCCTCACATCCCAGGGAGCACACACTGAGCCCTGTTCTCCTCTTGCCATGGGACCATGTACAAGCGTGTGACACGTGCATGTGTGCGCAGACGCGTGTGTACACATGTACGTGTCTGTGCTTTCACATGCGTGCCCACACATGGGCATATTCCGACATGTATGTGGGCACACAGCTGCCTCCCATCTCCTTGAGGGCCCCCACTACCCAGCGTCATCTCTGTGACCGCGGCTCCCCCTGGCTCAGATCCCACGCAGGCCACTTCCTTGCTCTCCCTGCCTGCATCTGCCCCCAGCCGTCAGAGGGACCCCAGAATGAAGATCAAATCAGGCCCTGCCCCCACTCATCCTAGGACCTGACCCGATCACTGTCCCCTCTACGACCCCACCCCGAGCGCCAGGGCGGTCAGGACCACCCCTGGTATGCCCCCACCGTGTCTCAGCACCACTCGCCGTGGCCTGGGATAGACTCCACTTAGCCTCCCCCACGGCTGTATGACCTGGGGCCTGACACCAGTGTGCCCCAAGCCTGCCCAGTTCTCTGCCCGCCTGGGGCCACCTTGGCACAAGAAGGCTCAGAGGGGCCTCGGGGCCATCTATCCACGGTCTTGTTGGAGGGGATCAGATAGGGAGCTAGTGGGGATGGAGGAGGCCTCGTTTCACTGGAAAGGCCTGGGAGGTAGAGGGTGAGTGCCCACTGGCAGGTGCAGAAGCCATCCCAAGGACAGCCTGGGCCTCTGCCCTGTGACCCAGCCAGCAAAAGCCAGGCCGGGCCGGTGCCGTGATGCTCAGACTCACAGCTGGGACAGGCTTCTGGCCAGCAGAGCCTTCCCCAGTGCCCACAGTGTGGGGCAGTTCGAGTCCGAGATGTGACCTGAACCCTACTGCTTCCCTCCCGATCCTGGCTCCCCAGTGGCCCTTGTGGGGAACCCCAGAGCTCCCAGGCACGCTGTTTGAGAACCCCATGAGTGGGCACTTCTAGGCCACCTTCTGGCCCCAGGGGTCTGTGAAGGCTCACTGCAGAGCCTTGGTCCTGGGCTGCAGCTACCCGAGGGGGCTCAGCTCTCCCTGACCTGCCCCTTGCCACACCCTCACCCCTGCACGGCCCCCGACACATCCCACAGCCCAGCTGGCCACTGGGACTTCTGTCTTCTCTCTCCCCAGCACCCTCCCCCCA